AAATAATTTATCATTGATACTGCATTATTTGATACTTATTTTATTAAAAATAAATGTTTTCGTTATGTAAGAAAAGACATTATAGTAAAAATATAAGATTAAGTAATCTCACATTCTTATCAACCAAACACAAGAATTTAAAAACAAGATGTCATGAAAAATCACACTTTCTTGTGGATCATATTTTCTACTAGAATTTAAGCTTTCACGAACCAAACGAATTTTTTTTTAAACCTATCATTTTAGCACAAGTACCATTTTACCCTTTTAATATTATAAAATTATTATTTCATCTTTTAATTAAAATTAAAATATAAATACTAAAAAATCAAAATATTGCAAATTAAAAAAATAAAAAAATCTGCAAATCAAATCCAAAAAAATCCAAATCTACAAAAGAAAAAAAAAATCCTACCACCTACCCAAAAAGTAAAAAAGCAAAGGAAAACAATAAAGAAAAAAGATCATCCTCATCAAACAAAAAAAAATCAAATCTATAAATCAGATATAGAAAAAACCAGATTTGCACAAAAAAAAAACTTGCGACCAATGCAAAAATTATGAAAAAACAACATCATCTTTCATTAAGAGGAAGCTACACAAAGCATAGAATAAAAAAATGAAAAAATCAATAAAGGGTTTTGATTTAAGGCTTCGGAAGAAGGTTTCAAAGGCATTTAATTTGGTGATGAGGAGGTAGGGTTTAGAGAAAGAACATACTAAGAGTTGAGGCATTTTGAATGGAAAAGATGAATTTTTTTAGGGAAGGAAGACAATGGATTTTAGGTCAAGATTTAAGACAATTTATTGGGTTTTTGGAAAAACTAGTTGGAAAAGTGAAATGAAAAGTAAAAGAGAAAATTTTCTGTGACTTTTGGTAAGAAATCAATGACGAGGAATGACAACCTATAGTAGAAGGCATGGCAGTGTCTACAAAAACTATCGGAATCTAAGTTTATAATGAATTTTGGTTGATTGGTTAGAAAAAAAGCTTTTAGTATTAGAGAAAGAGAGGGAATATTAGAGAGAGAGAGAGAGGAAAAGGTGGAAAATGAAAAAAAAAATGAATTATTCATAAAGGTGCAAAATGCACCATTTAAGAAGTGAAAAATTTTTAACCTCAGCATAATGGGGCTACACACTAATATAATTTAAAATTGAAATATAATATATATATATATATATATATATTACAATTGATATGTATATAATATATATATTATATTACAACATACATCAATATTTGATAAGACTATCACATGAATGCTTATGTGGATATTTTCTTTAAGTGACATATAAGATAATTCTTTTAAAAACAAAGTAAAATAGCTTATTTTAGTTACAAATCTTAAATTTATTCAAATATAAAAAATTATTCAAATAACAATTATAAATCAAATCAATCTATAGATTTTTTTAAAAAAAATTAAAAATTAAAAATATGAATTTATCTTCATAATGAATAATTTTATTTATTTAAAAAATCTTGCCCTAATCATTTATTTCATATTAAATTCTAATATAAATTTTAAATATAAAAAGTTTATTTTAGTTGATTTAGATTTCACTAGCTAGATAGATATATCTCTTTTTTAAATTTAAAAATCTCAATAATGATAGTTATACCTTCATAGATCTCATATTTATTTTCTATACTTTCATATTTATTTATTTCTTTTCATTTTTCATTCATCCATTACTTTTCTTTATATTCTTTATGTGATTGTGAATTAGGTTAAAAAGGAAGTATATTAAGAATCTAAGTGACGAAGCAAATATATATATATATATTTTTTTTTTTTCTTTTCATGAAAGTTCATCAAAGTACTTATTTATATAAACCTATATTCTTAGGTACAATTTTTTTTAATACAAACATGTTAAGATAGATAAAAAGTGCAAGCTTTTTTATTCTTTTGTGTTGAAATTTTTTATTAAGAGTGTGGTATATTTCTTGTATATATTTATGCCTAATTTATGATTTTTTATAAGTTAAAGAAAATATTTGCTATATATATGAAATTGTCTTTCTTAAATGAATAACAAATTACTTCAAATTTGTATTTTTTTCACTGAATAATTTAAAGTTTCTTATATTATTTTTTTAGTGCGTAGAACTTCTCATATATACTGTTCTACTTTTGTGGGGATACCTTTTTTTTTTGTCTTTAATGTTGTTTTCCATACAATTCAGACACTATGATTTGATATATATTTTACATTTTATACTATTTAGATTATTACATTTTAATATTTATTATTTTCAAATAAATTAGTTCATATATAAGAAATAATTTTTAATTAAAATGAAAGAGTAATATGCTAACACAAAAACACAACTGCTAAAGTATGCCACTTAGATGTTTATGTATATCATTTATATTTTTGACATAGGATAACAATTTAATTTTAACTTTCTATGAAATATCTTATTTAATTAATTATTTGATTTTTAAAATATTTGAAAATTTAAAAATTAGGCTTATTTAAATCTTTCAAACTATGTTATTATAATTTAAATCAGATAAAATTTCTCATAACTTACGATTTTAAAATATTTTTTAAATTTCAATTTAGATAAAAGCATGATCAAAGTTTTAAATCTTATACACCATACATATAATTTATAATTAAAGTATTTTTAAAAATATTGCATTTAACTATAACTTAAAATAGTTGGTTTAGTGAAAATATACATTACTGTTTTCTTTTAAATAGGTAAATTTTAATTTTTGTGAAAATATTTGAAACAATGCATTAAATATGAAATTTTTTAACACCATGATGTCAAATAGTATCAATATTTATTTTTTTAGTATTTTAATAGATCAAAATATTATTTTAAGTTATGTTATGTTAATAACTTTTTTTATTATTAAATTACAAGAAGAGATCAATTTACAAATTTACATCAATATAGGTGTTGTACCTTTTGTTGACTCTTTGATTAAAATAACTAAAATTAAAAATATTTTTTTAATCCAAATCAGTTATAAATTTTATTTTAATCTAAGAATACAAAACATATAATTATAAGTAGATCTTTTAAATTACGCTTTTTTACAATCCTTTAAACTTATGTATTAATGCATTGTTCTTGACACATCACTAGTGATGGATTCAAGATTTTTAATTAGAGGGGGCCAAAAATAAAATAAAATCTGTAATTATTTTTTTATTTAATGTATAATATGTTATTATGTTATCAAAAGTTATCAAAAACATATGTGAGATGTTATATTTCATATATCTACCTATAAACAATACACATAAAAATTCAATTATTAAAAAAATATAACTATTAAAAATGAAAGAAACTCAAATTCTTTTATTTAAAATTGTGCAAAAAAATCATTTTAGTCGAAGTTTCATAAAATTTTTTTTTTAATGTATAGAACAAGATTATCTTCATAAAACTCTTCTCATATTTATTACGAAATTTTGTTTTAATAAGTTTTATCATTAAAAAATATTTTTTAAGTAATAAAAATCAAAAGAGGTACAAAAGATCAATCAATATAAAACAAAAAAAAAAAAAAAACGCTTTAACTTAATCTTTCTTCACATGTTAATCTAAAATAATAAACAAAACTTGAACTTTATTAATTAATTAATTATTTTAAATTTTAAGTAATATTTTGTACAATAATATTTATTTAAGGACTAAGACATAAATGAAGTGAAATTATAATATTTTTATAATACTATAATAATAAAATAAATGTTTAACCAGTTTTTTTAACCTTATCTAATGCAAAAATTTAAATTAATAACATATATAAAATAATTTAAAGAAAACTAAAATCAAAGAATTTATTTTATTATATAAAACAATAAAGCTATTTACTTTGTAGTTTTTAAAAGAGGATTAAACTATTAAATATTAATACATTTTGCAAATTGATTAGGATTTAAGATTTGAATTTTTTTTTTTTAAATTTAAAGTTTTTTAATCACAAAAATTTTTTTTTTTTGAGGGGCCATCTTTATCTATTTGAGGAATCTTGTAGATTAAAAACATATCTAAATACAAGATTTCAATAATATTGAGAGGTCATGGCCCCCTCTGGCTTGTATGTAGCAAAGCCAATGCACATCACCATCAACTATTTGCTTTTATATATATATATATATATATATATTATAAAGAAATTAAGTTAATGAATACTGTTTATAAAATTGAAATAAAAATAATGTTTTTTTCTTATATGAACATGAAAATGGATTTTTTTATATTTTTTATAATTTTTATGAATATTGTTCTCAAAATCTATTTAAAAATATGATACAAGTTACAATATGTTCTGAAATTAAAAAAGTTTTAATGTGATTTCACACCTGATTCCATCACTCAATTCATATAAAACATTGACATAGAATTAATTTAATTTGAAAGTCTCAAATAAATTTATTTTTAGTTTGTATAAAACGCAACAATTTTATTTGATTTTACACATCTAAAATCAATTTTTTTTATAGAGGCGTGATCTTTAACAACACAAAAAGAAAAAAAAAAAAACAAACATAGCTAATTTTTTTAGCAAATATGTAAGTTGCAAATAGAATATTAAAAGCAAAAACTTTGGAGATTAATTTATATAATAATTATCAATTCTTGTATATTATTTGAACAATTAATTTATAATTTATTTTATATAAATTTGCAAGCGCATAAATATTATTTCGGATAAAAGATGAAAATTAAAGAAATTTAGTTTTACATAATAAAAACTTATTCATTTTTATCATTTTTTTTCTAAAATATATTGTTTAATATATATATATATATTTAGAATTTTGTTACTCTTTAGTTTTTTTTTTAAAAATTTAAAATTTTGTAACATCTTAGTTGGATATATAAATTATGAAAATTTAAATACAAATTGAAAAAGAATACTAATTTTTGTATATTTATACATGTTAAAAAAAAAAACAAAATTACTCATTGCATCATATGGTCGTTAAATATAAAACTTGATTTATACCCCTGGTTAATTTTTATGTGTGAAAACCAATATAGTTGGGTTTTGGTGTTGAAAAGGAGGCTGAAAAAGCCATTTAAGCAATTGTGAATGGCTTTATGCCGGTCCCTTTTCCTTTATTCCCCTCCCCATCGTGCCCTTCTTTTCGTCCATTCCAAGCCCATTTGTTCTTATTCTTCTAAATTTCCCATCCATCGGAAGCCTCAAACTCCATTCTCCTGCACTTGCCGTTCATCATCCTCCATGGAAGCTCCTCCTCAAGGTTACAGGAGAAATGTAGGCATTTGTCTCATCAATTCCTCCAGAAAGGTCTTTTATTACCTTCAGTTTTTCCTCTCAATTGGTTTTATATTATATAATGAATTTATTCATCTGACATTTTTCCTTTGTTTTTGTTCCGTTCTGTAGATTTTTTCTGCATCGAGACTAGATATTGCCGACGCTTGGCAAATGCCACAGGTTCCTTGATTTTGTTTCTTTATAATTGTTTATCTTTCTGACATGATTTCCAGTTAACAGAACTGGCTTTGATTTAGTCCATGAGAGCAGTTTTGTTAATTTATTAATAAAAAAAAATCGTTTGGACGGAAAGGAGGCATTGTCAACACTCCTCTATTTCCCTTTAAAAGCTCAAGTTTCTAATCCTCCATTTCGGTAGGAAAGAAAGGGAAAGTCACTTTCTTTCAATGGATTCCTAGGAAGAATTTATTAGATTGTGATAAAGCTTATTTAGTTTACATTTCCTGTATTCAAAATGAATACTAAGCTCTCTCTCATCTTAGCTTTGTCTCATTGTCTATCTCATAATCATTCAAATCTTTTTTAATTAGCTCCTTTTCCTTCGCCATCAATTTTTATCCTTTTGAATAACATTCTCGGCTGCCTCCAGTCTGGAGCTCCACTAATTTACAAGTTGTTTCTTTTGAATAACAGAGCTATATCATGCAGTTATCTACAGTTTGAAACTTCTATTGCAATAGGAGCTGTTTTACGAATATAAAATTTTACTCAAATTTGCATTACATGAGATTTAGTGATGCACAGGGTGGGATTGATGACAGTGAAGATCCAAAAGTTGCGGCCCTCAGAGAATTAAAGGAAGAAACAGGTGTTAGCTCAGCTGAAATTCTTGCAGAGGTTTCTCATAAGACATCCTTTATTTTTTTTCTTCTCAAGAATTGCATTGATATTTTCTTTTATCCTGCTGGTGTTACTAGTGGAAGAGGCTACTGAACACATGCTACGGTGTGGGGGTGGGGACAAGTGCCTCTAGATTGCATTTTCTTCTAGGAAAGAATTAGGAATTTGAGAACATAAATCCGAATGTTTTAATTAATTTGATCTTCCACGTACTGGTCCTTTGCACACCCGCATCCCTATGTGGGTGAGATAAATGAATAATTTTACCACAGATAAATGTTAAAAGAATTTATAATTTTCTGAAAAATATTAAAGATAGGACTCAATGTACCTGTTCTTAGATTGGAGAAAAATAGGCTTAAATGTGACTTTAAAAAGATGTGGATCCAAACCAATATACCTATAGTAGTGTATGTTCTTTTATTATATGTTTACTTATTTACGGAAATTGACTTTTGATACCAAACAAAATCGGAAGTCTTTTATATATTACTATAGATTGAATGTCGTATATTTCTAACAGCTTATTGGGGTGAGCTTGGATTTTGTAGACTAGATACTTCAATATTGTGCCCTATTCTATTAATTTGACTGTCTGATATGGGGAGTGATTTTGTTTACCATTATTCTTTATCCACATGTTTTTAACAGTTGCTTCTGAACTAATAAGCTTTGAAACCTAAATGTCTATGTGGGCCTTTTCTCTAGTGCATCAATGATAATGAATGTTTGCTCCTGGAATTGATGTTCGAAAACGCATTTCAAATTGAAAAAATGAGAAAACTTCTGTGTATGCATACTCCAAAGGTCATATGATCATCTTGACAGTTAATCAGCTATATGATGGGTTAGTAATGCTGGATTTTCTGACACCCAAATTTTGACAAGCTGTCTTTCTAAATGCTAATTGGTTTGGAATGGAATGGAATGGGGTAAGGCTTTTTGCTCTAAGAGCTAATTGTTTATAATGAAATAGTGCAAAGATATTTCAAACATCAAATATGGATTATTTGTTTTCTTATATTTAAGTTATTGACCCGTTGGGTTATGTCAGTGCTCCTATCATCATTCTATTTTCTTATTTTTACATTACACTTGTTCTTTGGAACCCAATGATGCTAGGCTAAGGTGTGACTTAACTGGTGATAGTAAAACCGTAAAGTACAGCTACAAAAAAAGGGGGTGGGTATGAATTGTTTGATAGGCAGGATTAGGGGTGTAAATGATACATTAGTACTCGTAAGCTACTTGGGTTTGATTTGAAGAAAACTCGAATTCGGTTCGATTATTATCGAGTTGAGCTCGAGCTCGAGTAGCTCGACTTATCGATCGAGCCGAATTCGAGTATTCTTATATCCGACTCGAGTAGCTCACGAGCCTAATCGAGTTTTTATATTTAAATATATTTTTATTATTTTAATTAATAAAATATTTCGAGTTCGAGTTCGAGTTCGAGTTCGAGCATGAATAATCGAACTCTTGTCGAGTATACGAATCGAGCTTATTTTTACATATTAATCGAGCTTAATCGAGCGAGCTCGAGTAGCTCGAATTCGATCACGAATCGAGCTCGAGCTTGAAAAATAAAACTCAACCGAGCTCAAGCCGAGTATCGAGCCCGAGCCGAGTATCGAGCTCCGAGTTATGAGTCGAACTCGAGCTTTTCACTATTCGGCTCGACTCGGCTCGATTACACTCTAGGCAGGATAGCCTACAATCAACCTTTTTTTGGATAGATTCACATTCACTTAGACCGTGATTCAATGGAGAAAAGTTTAGCTGGAGCTCTCTACCTAGGAAACAAATGCTGATAATTCTTGTATTATACTTGTAACAGACTGAAATAATTGGTATTTATTTCTTTTCTTATATATAGAGATTCAGCTGCAATTGAAAGTTCTATATTTATATATAAAGTTAAAAGAAAATTGAGGGTTTACGTGCTTTTGTTAGTAGTAGTACAGGAACAGCGAGAAAATGTTTTAGTGGTATCTAAGTTAGTGGTTTTCTCCGTTGTGTTACACATGTACAAGGAAGTCCAACTCTGACATGTTTATATTTAAATTATAAATTGGCGGCTACTAGGTTCATGAGTTTTACTATAGTGATCCAAATATAATCCTTTGCATATGTTGTTGAGATTTACTTTCTCCATTTCATTCTAATTCTGCTCTTTTCTGATTCATGTCTTACCTGGAATGTGTCCATTTATTGGTTCTGTTATGGAGGTACCTTATTGGCTGACATACAACTTCCCACCAGAAGTTAGGGAAAAATTGAAACATCAATGGGGTTCAGACTGGAAAGGTCAAGCTCAAAAGTGGTGAGTGCTTGGATCAGCCTTAAAGTAAGTAGTTTGCGCCATATATATGGGATGCAAAGACAAAAATTTAAGTTGGTTGAGTTAGGTTGGTAGAGATTGAGGCAACAAATGATACATGGTATAGTTTCTCAACTATGCATCAATAAACCCCAATTATACACACACACAGAGACATGCATGTGTTGCTCTGTCTGTCTTAAACAGCCATCACACAACTCAACTTTTGATCATTGAACTTAGAACCGTCATTTGATTTTCCTTTGAATTGGATTTGGTAGATGGTAGAAGCAATATGTGAGTCTTTTGTCTGTCTTACATAGCCATTGTACAGCTCAACTTTTGATCAGTGAACTTAGACCATTCATTTCATTTGGACGTGAATTGGATTTTGGTAGGGAGCAGAAGCAAGTTCCTACTCAACAGCTTTCAAAGTTTATTCTGCAATGTTAATATGCGCATTGGTTCCAAAAGTGACATGTCCAACTATTGTTTTTGGGTTATAATTGTAAAGGTCCCAGTTTGTTTTGATTTTCCATGCTACGTGAACTTCTCTTTAAATTTACTACTACAAACAGGTTTCTCCTTAAATTCACTGGGAAGGAGGAAGAAATCAATCTTCTAGGGGATGGGACTGAGAAACCCGAGTTTGGTGAATGGTCATGGATGACACCAGAGCAAATAGTTGAGCTCGTGGGTACTCCTCACTCTTATCATTTTGCATCAATTAAAGGCAGATTAGCTTTGTCTCTGTTGTCTATTTAACAGTTTGTGTTCATTTCTCATTTTGTGCAGGCTGTGGATTTCAAGAAAGATGTATACAAAGAAGTTTTGGAAGTTTTCGCTCCCTACCTTCAATAATGTTTTTCCTGTCAAACTGCAAATAGAATAAGTTGGATAGACAGTTCTAATGTGCATGATTAGTACAGTTTGTTGGTAGAAGGGCCTTGATTGTTACATTCTAAAATAAATGCTCGTATGTATTTTTGGAGTGGCTGCTTTGGAATTCTTCATTCACGTTCAACTTGTTTCGTTTCCAAGCCATACGATTACTCACTTCCCATATCCTCTTTCTCTTACCAGTGTTCGGAAATTCGAAGTTAAAAGAAGTAATGAATAAATAGATCTTTGAGAGCACGCAGAAGAATACTTTCTTTTGTTAGTTAATAACATCTATGGTTCCTAAATTTTGATTCAATTTTTAATTTTTAAAAAATTTTAATTGAATTCTCAATTATCTAAAGTTTTTAAATTTTGATCTTTTCATTTATGAAACCATTTAAATTGAATAAATGTTAGCAGATATTATGTAGATGGTTTTAATTGACATCTCACGTAACATATAGAAAGACCAAAAAAAAAAAATTTTGCTCAAAAATTAGAGACTAAGTATGTTATTGTCTCGAAATTTTTATATTTGGGATATATTTTATATAATATTAAATTTTAACACAGTATTTTTATATTTTTAGTGTAATATAACTTATTGGTCAAATTTTTTGTTTTTAATAGAAAATAAATTTTCAAAAATTAAAATTAAGTTAAAAATTTAAAATCATTTTTCAGAATAATCTATATCATTTTAAAAACAAAAAAAAATCTATTTTCTATTACAATATTATTTTATTAATAAATCATAGTAGAAAATATTTTTTACCGAAAAAATTGATTTTTTTATTAAAAATATTAATATCTTCTCATATTTTCTTTTTTAAATTTATTTTATAAAGAAGAAAAAAGGAAAAAGAAGAAAAATAAAAATAGTTAAAGAAAATTATTGATTTTATATATTTCAAAAATATTAAATTTAAAATAGTTTTTTATTTTTAATTATGATATGATTTATCAGTTAAATAATATTTTTAATCGAAAATAAGTTTTAAATTTAAAACTAAGTTAAAAAAATTAAAATCCCTTTTAAAAAATTAATTGAAAATTTATATCGATTTAAAAAATTAAATAAAAACTCATACCGTTTTAAAATATTTAGTAAAAATTACCATATCATTTTTAAAAATAAATTTATTAATCTAATTTAAAAATCTAATTTCTCTCAAAAAATTTATTTTGAATCTATTTTTTTATTAAAAATTTTATATTTATACAAAATAAAAATATTATTTGTAATAACCCAATTTATTACCTTATCTGATCGGTGTTGATAAGAACCATTCTAATTGTCTTTTTTTTTTTTTTTTTCAATTTTTTAAAAATATAAAATTTAAATAAAGAATATATTCAAAATAATTTTTTTCAATAGAAAAAAGGTATGAATAGATTAATAATTTGATTTTTTAAAATGATATAAAAAATTTTAACTTAATATTTAAAATTATATGAAGCTTTTTATTTAATTTTTAAATCGACATAAAAATTTTTAGTTAATTATTAAAAATAATATGAAATTTTTTAAAAGAATTTAAAATTTTTAACTTAATTTTAATATTTTATAATCTGTTTTTTTATTAAAACAAAAAATCTATCTAATAAATTATATTAAAATAAAAATAAAAATATATTATTTTAAATTTAATATTTTGTAAAATAAATTTGAAATATTAAAAAATTTAGGATAATAGTATCCTTGATTTTTAAATTTTGAATAAAATTTAATTTTGATTCTTCCATCTATTACGTGAGATGTCAATAGACGTCATTTCCATTACGTTAGCTTACATTTATCATAAATTTAAACAGTTTCATAGATAAAAAAAATCAAGTTTGGACAATTTTGAGCAGTTGAGATTTAATTAAAATTTTTTAATAATTAAAAGTCGTGGAATCCTGAAAGTTGAACAAATCCAGACGGAGTAATTTTTTTGGAGAAAAATTAAAATAATAATTTTTTTAAAATTTTATTATTTTATTTAATAAATTTTTAAATTTTAATTTACATCTAAATAAATTATTAATTTTTAATTGTATTCAAATAAATTTTTAATTTTTAATTTATATCTACATAAACTCTTAATATAAATTAATTTTTATTTTAAAAAAATATTTATATTTACACAAATTAAAGATAATTACTTATTTGGATATAATAAAAATACACAAATTTATTTATATAAATTAAATAGTTTACGAACTTTTCAATTATAATAAAAAATTACATTTGCAGGGCTTTGTTAATTATAACGATTTCTTTGGTATGAAATATCTCATCAGTAGATTATTTATTAATCTGTTTATTCAGTATTTTTTTGTATTTTTAATTGTTCACTTAACAAATTAAATCATTTTGTTAATTTCCATTAGCAACATAATAAGATATATCGTAAACTAAATTTATAAAAAAAAGTTGAGAATTAAACAATTGGTATATTTGGTGAAAAAAAAAAGAAGCAATTGACAACTTTTTAGAACTTGTATTTGTTCTTTGGGCTTGAAGAAGGGAAAAAAATCCTGACCGAATGGTTCATTAGAAGCCCAACTCATTTAGTTTCCCTCCCTTTATAAATGTTTGTTATTATGCCAAACGACGTAGTATTAGGCTATCCAAAGTCTAAAACCCTCCCCAAACCCTCTCATTGTCGCCTTGTTATTCTCTGTCTGACTCTACCGCTGCTCACCCCTCTCCTCAATTTTTGTAGTTGCCACCATTGGCCTTCTGCTGCCGGCGTCTTAGTATTGGTCAATCTTAAAAAACCCTAAAACGACATAGGCAACTGCTTTTATAGATATATCCCTTGCCGTTTCTCTCTTTGTAGAATAGAATAGAGTATTATTATCTGACTGCGCTCCCAAGAAAACAAATTTTCAGCGTTTGGAGGCGATATCTCAGGTTTTACTCTCTCCAATTCTCTCCATTTCCAGTTGATTTTATTTTTTTGAAAATTTGGGGTTTAATTTTGCCTATTTTAACAAGAATTTACTATAGTAAATATTTTGGTAGGAAGCTTTTTTGAAACATTTTAATTATGTTTTATTGAAATCATTTTCGATTTATTTGGTGATTTTCTATAAAACCAGAGGAAAGGATATTACGACTATACTAGTACTTGTTTTGATGTCTGCTTAATTGTTATTGATTAGTTAAGAAGAATCCGCCATGGCCATGGATAGCGGCGCCGATGAGCAGTCGCACAAGGCTCACCGCTCTCGCCAATCGGGCGCCTCCGCTAGAAAGAAAGCCAAAGCCAAAAATAAGAATCAAAACTCCGACCCGAGGCAACAAAACCCTAAGGTTCCGTTGCTTTTCCTTTTTACTTTCTATTAGATTGCTGTTCTCCTTTACCTAACAATTTGAATTTTATTTTTTGTCTAAAATTATTTTTGGTTTAGGCGTTCGCTTTTCGTTCCAATGCAAAAGCGAAGCGATTGCAATCACGTGCGGTGGAGAAAGAACAGCGTAGGCTTCATCTTCCTATTATGGATCATTCCTATGGCGAACCACCTCCCTTTGTTGTCGTGGTACAGGGTCCCCCTCAGGTATATGTCTTACTAATAATATTATATTTTGTTATAATTTGTTTGGAACAAAAGAAAAATAAAAGTGTAAATTATTTTGCATGGAACAGAGGAATATTTGAATTTAATGTCATTTAGATATTGAAAATGGTTTGTCCTTATAAGAACTAGGCAAAAAATGAGGTTGTTCTGTTTGCTTTTCAAACAAGAGTTACCTGTTACATAGAGTGGAAAAGAAAATTAGAAGTACATATAAAGTCCTTTGCTAACACCCTGGAACAAGGAACCCTGGAACAAGGAAATATCTATATATAATTGAAAATAGTTGCAAAAGGAGAAGTGGAGGTGTATAACATTATTTTGGAGTGAAAACTAAATTTTCAAGAGGTCCTAATTTCCTTGTTTGGGCTTTCACATAGACGGGGTTGGTACTGTAGATAAGAGGCTATTTCATTGTTTTGGAAAGAGCTTAGATATTTAGGATAGCATATTTTCATCCTTGACCATGTGTTATAAAGACAGAGTGAAGAAAAATGAGAGATAGAGAGAGAGTTTTCTATCAATTTTGATAGTATTTGCAAGAATAACACCTGAATTGTAGATTTTATGATGCTGAATTTGAAATTAATGATATTTTTGGTTATCAAGTAGAGAAATCCTGAAGTTAGAACTGAAATCTAGAAAAGCTTGGAAATTCTTTGTTCCAAATGCCAGTTGATGCCTAGTTGTCAGATGCTTGCAAACTTAGTAATTTTGTGTGTGTGTGTGTGTGTGTGTGTGTGTACAATTAACTCTAGGTGGTATCATCTAGAATTCCTTTTCCCATGATTGTATGGTTAATAATTGTTGAACTTTTTATTGGCTGGCAGGTTGGAAAGTCTCTTCTAATAAAGTCCCTTGTAAAGCATTACACAAAGCATAATTTACCTGAGGTTCGAGGACCAATTACCATTGTATCAGGTTTATGTTTCCCTAAGTTTTAGTAGTTGTTCATATTCATTATCTGGTTTAGAAAAGTAGTGGAGTTGATGGTCCTCATCTGATGTGCAATTGGTGAACACTTTAGGCAAGCAACGGCGTCTGCAGTTTGTTGAGTGTCCAAATGATATCAATGGCATGATTGATTCTGCGAAGTTTGCTGATCTAGCATTGCTTCTCATAGATGGAAGTTATGGCTTTGAAATGGTGAGATACTGAAAATGTTTGATGTGCTTTCCACAGCTTTAATTTTTTGGAATATGATAATCTGCTTTTCTGGAAATTGTTATTCTATAAATCTTCTCTTTTTAAAATCAATTTTGAATCCTCATATGAGAACCATCTCATTAAGCTGTCACATTTACCTAGCTGGTCATTCTTTCCTCTTGCCTTCCCTTTTTCCCATTCTTTTTATTCTGTCATAACCATGGACTTGCTTCCTTTATGATGCTAGCTGCTTTCTATAAGTTCATTTTCCTCTCCAGGCATCTACTAAGCATATCAAGTTTCAATCAATGGGATTTTTTAATATGTTTTAATTTAATTACTTTTTGGTATCTTGTAGGAAACGTTTGAATTCCTTAACATATTGCAAGTTCATGGGTTTCCAAAGGTGATGGGGATTCTCACTCACCTTGATAAGTTTAAGGATGTAAAGAAACTAAAGAAAACAAAACAGCGACTTAAACATCGTTTCTGGACAGAAATATATGATGGAGCTAAGTTGTTTTATTTATCTGGTCTCATTCATGGGAAGTAAGCATCTTATCTAAAACTCCATTTTGACTACACTCACTTTGATAAGTTTATTTTGT